CTCTCTCTCTCTCCCCCTCTTTCCCTCTTCCCTCTCTCCTTGCTTTTGAGGAGCTGCTGCTTTTCAGGGGCAAGGAAGACTGAGGGAAATCTTCATGCCACTGTCCCCAAGGCAAGAGGACACTTCTCCCCAAGGGAAGTTCCTATGATGGTTTGGACTTGAGTTGATTTGAGAGTAATCTGTAAAGTTTACATGCTGTTTATTTTAACTCTTTGACTGTTTATGCTATGACATGAGCTAAAAGAAAGTAGAATACGAAATTACAAATTATAATGTTCCTGTGGAAATGTATTATGCATATCAACAAAACCTGATGTCTCCTCTTTCCAGCCCAGCAAATACATAACTCCAAACCAAGAGTCAGGGCCACTGATGACCCACGGCATGGGAGGCAGAAGTCTAGGCCCAGCGAGGCAGAGCCAGCATTGCAGGTTTATTTCTTCCCTCTGGGTGTGAGCAGCTTCCAGCAAACAACATTGTTAAGGCATTTTACGCTTTCAGTGCGCCAAAACTAGAAGCTTTTCTTTTTGTTAAATTGTGAGATATTTAGAGCAACCCAGGTTTGTGCAGACTGTGGGCCTTGGAGAAGCAACACCTGAGTGGAAGGATGCCCTGGGCGGGTTGTGTGGACATGCTTTGGGGACAGTGTGGCTGCTGCCTCTTGCTGTTTTTCTCAGATGGTATCTATGCTGATGCTTGTAACAGTGGCTAACTAGTCATTAAAAATACATTGTGTATCAGGAACAACCCAAGATGCTTTGCATGTATTATCTTCTTTAAACTTAGAGCAATCTGCCTGGAAGTTTTATTATCCCCATTTTGCAGATGTTAACTTTTGGAGGACTTGGCCCATAACTTTAGCATAGTAAGCACCCAGGAACAACACACATTTAGCAAACACAGGCATTTATAAAAATGCAAACTACCAGCCTTCCAAACTAACCAAATACACAAATCAGAGGACAAAGGTAGTGTGTATAAATATATATATATAAATATATACTTCAATTTTTTTTTTTTAATTTTCAAAAGTTGCCCCTTAGAGTCTGTTTACATAGACTGTGTAATGTATCTCATGTAACAGGACTTGAAACTTTCCAAAACATCTCTGGGCCAGCGTGACAGTCACTGCCTGTCATCACTGGGACTAATGTCCAGACTCCTTGGCTTGATATTAACTCCCCTGGTTCCAACCCATTTTCCTAACTTTATCTCTGGTCTGTCTTGCTCTAACCAGGCATGATTATTTGCAGTTCTCTCCAACACTTTCCTTCCTCCAGGCCTTTGCTCATACTGATCCCCCAGCGAGGAATATCCTCCCTGATGTCCTTGACTGTTGAGAGCATGGTCATCCTTCATGGCTCAAAGGGTGCTGGTCCATGTTTTTTCCTGCTCCTCAGTAGACCTTGGAAAGGGGCTGTCACCATTCTGTGTTTGCACATCACTTTTGGCCCTTGTTTGTAGTGTATGTGTCTCTCCCAGTTCTATTCCTGTTTTTACCACCTTCCACACCTAGCACTATGCTTTACCCAGTGTTCATTTGATAGACATGCATGGAATTGAGTTGAATAGGAGGCACTTAACAACTATTAGTGCATTCAGTAAAGTGAGTTATCCAGGAGTCAGCGTAAATAATTGGTGGATAATTCTGGCTCATGTTTTGATGTCTCTTCGGGTGAAAAATATTACAACAGAAGTAAAAAATACAACATGAAAGATCCCAGGAAATAAAATATCGATGCTTTTCTCTTTTCCTCCCTATAGAGGAGTCTTTGTTTACCGTCTCAGGAGTGAGGCTAAAGCCAGAAATGTGTGACCTTTTGGCCTCCTACCGGAAAGGTCGTCACCCAGGCCGGCTTAGGAAAGGCTGGTGAAAAGAAAGGCGACGTCACCAAGATCCTTCCAGGTACGTGGTCCCAACAGTGAGGCTCCTTATGGACGGAATTGAAAATCGATCGCTGCCAGATGGAGACGACATTGTTCACGGAGTCGGAGCACCTCTGCTCTTTGTCTGGCTCTTCATTCCTACCCTGGGGACTGCTGGCCCGGCCTCTTCAGGCTGAGAAAGGAGGATGGCAGTGTGCATCATGTGTCTCTCCCACTCCCAGAGAAGCGGTCGGACTAAGACAGAACTACAGGTCATCGTAAGGCCTTCAGCTGACACATGGAGTAAAGGACCACTGTGGCACATTGTATTCCCTTCGCTACACAGCTCTCTGTCGGCTGATAGGACAAAGCCAGAGGTCAGGGTGACCAACTGTCCCCATTTGCTTGAATCTGAGGGGTGTCCTGGGTTGTGGGACGTTCAGTGCTAAAACTCACACCGTCCCAGGTAAACCAGGATGGTTGGTCACCGTATGGTGCAAATCACCACCTGGCCGGCCCCCACCTGGCTCAGAGTCTGGCCCGCCCAGGAGGTGGTTTTAGAGGATCCAGTCACGGCTCTCCAGGCTTCTTAGGCCACACTTTCTGCACAGGAGTCACAGGGAGTCCTCTCATTCAGGGGGAGTTCTGGCAACACAAGGGCCTGATGGGGAGGCCAGAGCCATCCACAAACATCACAGACACAGCTGCTTGCAGGAGTCTCCTCAGTCAGCCCAGGGCATCCCAGCCTTCCAAAGTAATCTTGGGGAGGAAGGGGTGCTGTGGAGGGTTTTCCCAAAGGCACCATACCCTGAAGGGAGTTCTGCTGGTAAGCACAGGAAGCCAGGTGGGACAGCCCTGAAAGCCACCGTAGTACAGACACTGCTGGGTGTTACAAGAGCACTTCCCACGCTGGGCCTTCCATGGTGGGTGGAGAGGACAGTAATCTAGATAGAGGAATCGAGGGGGACCCATGCCCAGAGCCAGCCAGCCAGCCCTTTAGGTAAGCTACAAGCATTGGACTATGATTTGGCCACCATAGCTTGGCTGTGCTTCCTAACAGAACTTCTGGGGCCTAGATGGTATCCACTGGCATACTCCTTACACCGCCACTTGCCTCGCCACGTCATTCACGTGGCGGGATTCAGCTCTTCGCCACTTTCTCTTGGATCTCTCTTTGGCTGCTGATATTTAAAGGCCCATACACATCTAAGGATGTCTGCCTTCTGGATTTTCTAAGATCGTTGTGCTTAGAAATATGGAAAGATCAGGGAAGTTTAAAATTACAGCTGTTTCCTCAGAGCATTTTTTGAAATACCTAAGTTTTTGTTTTGACAATATACAATTGAAATTACAATAGGCAATACAATAATATGGTACTTCCCAAGCAAAATATTTTCTAGAGCAGAGATTTTACTGTGTAATTATGCCATTTTAAACCCACTAGTTATGAAAATAGGATGTACTTTAGCTACATTCTATAAAGTGAAGGATTTGCCCTTCGTAAAATTATCAAAGACATTGAATGGTAATGGTCTCAGATCCTTGTGCTCCATTAGCATTACTATTATTTCTTTTGTTGTTGTTATTTTGTTTTACTAAGCAGCCAGAAGGTAGAAAGATAATCTTGCCTCTCTGATCTACAGTGACTTTCCACAAAGAATTGTTACCTGTAGATATAAATTGGCCACAATAGAAAATCAATTAAATGCTGTGAGTCAGAGTTGATGCCTGTGCCAGCAATGGAAGAAGGGAGGAGGCAGACTTAGCCACTATAGGAGTAATCTCGTGATGTCCCCAGGCCCTTGGTGCTAATGTAAGGAGATAAAACCCATAGGAGATGAACCACAATAGGGAAAAAAGCTAGAGCAATTAAACTGTTTAGTAAACGGCTTGGGATCAGCCAAATCGGGGAGCTCTGGAGTTGAAGAGACCCACAGACACTTGGGGCCTGTAAGTCTTTTCCACTAAATTGAATTTATGTTAAAATATTCACTTTTCAGGAGATTCAAAATGTAAATTGGGATATTAGGACTTGTAACTGTCAGCAATGCCTGAAAATTAAGACTCTTAAAAGATCCTCAAAATGTCAGTTTCAGGTATGGAAAAAATGTGTACTAATGCCTGCAATAGAGAAACAGAAGGGAAATAAAGGGATTGGGTACACACCACGTGCCAGGCCGTTTACACGTACTATTTCAAGGCTTGGCATGTTTTGAACAGTGGGGTGTGGTGAGGTACAACTGTGGTTTGTACACCCAGAGATAGATTTTGGTTATTTTTAAAACTTTCTTAGTTTTTATTACCAGGGGTAAGAAACTACTTCTGTTATAATTTATTATCACCATTTCTATCAATATATATAATTCTATTGATAACTTTGCAATAGCGTTTGACAGGTTTTCTTACTAAATCTGTACGATGTTATTCATTATTTTGATTTTGTTTATTCTTCATTTACTTCCAGGGCTACATTACTGCTATTTCAGTTTTAATATGCTTGAGTTTACTAAGAAGCTTCAAATCTAACTCCACACTGGACCAGGGGTTTTATACCATCACCTGTGACCTGAAATCTTTTAAATATGAGATCCAAGGCAATGGTCATAATACTTGAAGAAAAAGCAATAGAAGGTTATTGCTATTGTCATTTGCCTAAAATTTAAAGGTGATTGGCTCAAAAATTAGACATAGACTGAAATAGTCTGAGAAGAGAACTTCTGAATAACTTCATCCATTTTGTGATTTGATAGAGAGACTTCTGGGCTGGAAGGACCACAGGATGGATGGAGACTGACAACTGAAAGAATTGGGAGCCAGAGCTGGTGCTTAGAGAGGCCTGTCCCTCCTGTGTTCACTCACAATTTCTCCCAACAAAAGGACTTCTGTGGCAAGGAGAGGATTAGTCTAAAGTTTAGAAAAAGTCTCCAGGAAAGATGGTTTCTTGGGTAAAGTTGTCGACAGAAAGACTTGCTTAAGACTCTTTGTTATGATTTCCTAGGGGGCGCTTCCTCCTTCCCTAACTGGATTATAAACACATTACCACCCCACCCCAGCCAGATTTGAGGAGTTTGGATTGAGCTGCTGGTTAGAATTAAATTTCGAGCTATCTCCTCTTTCTACTGAATCCTAATTGTCTGTGATGATAGCAGAAGTGATGAGGAATCCAAGCTCTGATTTGATGGTAGAGATACTGAATAAATAGATAGGAGCAAAGAATTACAAAGACGTAATTCAAGCCCTGTTGCACCATCAGACACACGTGCATGTGTGCACTCACATAACCATCAAATAAAATGAGAGATCTGTCTCGGCTAGCTTATGTATCACTTTCTACAATGACTCATTCTGAAAGAAGCCAGGGAAATTCAAATTACTTTGTCTAGGGATCGTCCACTCAGAAAATGTAGCAGCCTAGAAACCAGAGACCTCTATATATCCTTTAGAAAAACAAAGAGGAACTAATTAAGAGAGAATTAAACAGTAGTACCTATCCACCCAAAGTCTGAGATGGAAGAAGGAAAAATGCATACAAACAGTCCAAAGAAATCTACCTTAGTGAGTATTTGATGTTAGAAAGGCATTTGACAAAGCCTGTCCAGATATACCTGAAAGATGAAACCATGTGGGCTGGTTGATGGGGCAGATGTCTGTGCTCAAAGAATGGTGGTCATGCAGCCTAGAGACAGGCCGATAGTGGTGTGGTACAAGGTTTGGTCTTCAGTCCCATTCTGGTCAAATATTTTTATTAATCACGTGAACAAAATCAGAGAAGGTGCATGATTTATTTATACAACTCGTTGAAGTAAGTACTGTTATCATTAATTTATTATTTCCATTTTACAAAAGAGGAAACTGAGGCTCAGAGAAGTTAAATAACTCCTCCATGGTAGTACACCAGAGTTAAGGTACAAATCTCAGATCTGGCTGTCTCCAATATCTGTGATCTTTCTAGTAATCACATACCTATCAAATCTGCAGAATACTCAACTCTTGAAGAGGCAGCTGCTATTTAGCATTAGACTATGATTCAAAAGACTGAGACCTTGCTAAAAACTAATGTGTACCACTACACATCTATTAGAATGGCCAAATTCTGGAACACTGACAACTCGAAATGCTGATGAGGATGTGGAGCAATAGGAACTCTCACTGATTGTTGGTGGGAATGCAAAATGGTAGAGCCACTTTGGAAGAGTTTGGTGGTTTCTTACAAAACTAAACATGCTCTTACCATAGATCCAGCAACCGTGCTCCTGGACATTTACCCAAAGGAGCTGAAAACTTATGTCCACACAAAAACCTGCACACAGATGTTTATAGCAGCTTTATTCATAATTGCCAAAACTGGGTAACAACCAAGATGTCCTTCAGTAGGTGAATGGATAAATAAACTGTACTACATCTAGACAATGAAGTATTATTCAATGCTAAAAAGAAATGAGCTTTTCAAGTCATGAAAAGACATGGAGGAAACTTAAATGCTTATTACTACGTGAAAGAAGTCAATCTGAAAAGGCTACAGATTGTATGATTCCAACTATATAACATTCTGGAAGAGGCAAAACTATAGAGACAGTAAAAAGATCGGTGGTGGCTGGGGGTTAGGAGGGAGGGAGTGATGAATAGACAGAGCACAGAGGGTTTTTAGGGCAGTGAAACTATGCATGATATGATAATGGTGGATACATGTCATTATAAATTTGTCCAAACCCATACAATGTATAACACTAGGAATGAATCCTAATGTAAACTACTGACTTTAGATGATAATGATGTGTCAATGTAGATTCATCAGTTGTAACAAATGTACTGCTCTGGTGGGAGATGTTGATAATAGGGAAGGCTGCACGTGTGTCGGGGCAGGGGGTATATGGGAAATTTCTGTAACTTCTGCTGAATATTGCTATGAACCTAAAGTTGCTCTAAAAAATAAAGTGTATTAAAAATACATAAAAAAGCTAAAGAGCAATAAGCCAATACAACATTTATTCCTATCAAATTTCATCTGATCTAATTTCTTACACTTTAGGCTTAAAATGTCAACAAGTTAATTAAGGCTGTGACTTAGTGGAAATCGGCACTTTTTAAGTACAGTATGAATTAATAGTTTGTCTGACTGCCCACAAAAAATAGTGGTAATACTTTTAGGTGATATACGTGAAGGAATAAGATAGAGTCCCAGAGAAGGGAAATGGTTTACTCTCTACTGATCAGATCACATCTAAATTATTGTCAAGTTTAACTCTACCCATCACACTTTGAAAGAAACATCATGTTGAAGTATTTATTGTGCATCTGTTAGTTTACAGAGCTAATCCTGTTTCCTCCTCTTAACAAGACCAAGAGGTAGGTGTAGTTGTTCCCCTCTTTGCAGAGAAGAACAGAGTCAAGTTTAAGTAGCTAGAATTTGATGCTTAGACTCTCTGTCTTCAAAATCTGTACTGTCCTCACCCTCAACCCCAACTCTGTTGCATGCTCTAAGGAGGGCTGCTAGGAGAATAGGGGGCCTGGAGACCAAGGCACAGGAGGAAGAGCCCAAAATAGAAAACCCAGGGGGCAGAGGAACGCCCTCCAGAGGACTGAGGGTTTTACGGAGCCAAGGGGCTGGCCCTCCTGGGGGGCTGCAGAGCCAGGACAAGTACATTGAAAGCTCAGAGGTGCTACTTTTTTTTTTT